TTGCGCAAAAAACACATTCTGGAAAAGAAAAAAAATGCAATCCAAGAAAAGAAAAAGTTTGTGAAACCAAAACAAACATTTTGATAGAAACTTTGTTTTCTTCTTTGTTTTTTTTAAATGTTACAGTCAACTTTTTTTATTTTTTCATCTTTGTTTTTACCAAATTCTCGTTTTCAGATCAAATTATTTTAAACTGCGTTTCCCGGATCACATTCTCATCATGGGAGGCAGAGCTTTTCTCTGGAGTAAACAGGATTTCTATTGGTTTGCATGGATGATGAAACATTTCTATTGGTCTGCATGGATGATGAAACATTTCTATTGGTCTGCATGGATGATGGAATCATTTCTATTGGTCAAGAGCAAATGTATCTATTGGGCTTGAAGTGAAGAGAATCTGATCTGTAAAAGCAAATTAAAAAGACAGCAAGTCAGAAAACCCAATTTAAAAGAGAATTTTTTAAAAACTAAAATTTGAAAAAGCTAATAGAAAAATTAAAATCTGTAAAAATTATGTCAAAACAAACTTTGAAAAAAACTATTTGAGATCAATAAAACAAAATAAAGTTAATCTAAAAGCCTTTTTTCAAATGAGGAAGTGGATTAAATTTTTAACTCATGACTCCAAGTCATCAATCAATTAATTCCATAAATTCCTGGGTCACGGAAACTCACTGGACTTTGAATTTGAAGAAGAAATTGAGAAGAAAAAATATTAAATGCTGTATTTTTTATTTTTTATTTTAAGTGTTACTTTTTAGAGAAGGTCAATTGGTTCAGAGTTCCATTTTAGCCTTAACCCTTTTTTGTATTTTAACTACAGTATGTTGATATTTGTTTTATTTACATTTCCCCACATTCCTGTAAAAAATGGCAAATATAAGAAGAGTTATATAAAATTCAAACCTTTAACATTTATCATCCCATTTATCTTAAACAATATTCTTTATGATTTTATCTCAGAAATAATTCATGTGCAGCTCTCAACTAAATTTGTTTTCCAAAATGATGCCTAAAAATTTGGCATTATGAACTCTTTGAACTTCTACTCCATTTATGTGTAATTTGATATTGTTACAGAGCTAGTTACCAAAAATATTTTTGGTTAATTCAATCGCTTCTGTCAGTGAGCCCCAGAGCAGCTGTGGCTGCAGTGTAGCCTGCCACCATCAGTGTGTGAGTGAATGGGTGAATGACTGAATGCAGCGAAAAGCGCTTTGGTCAAGTCTACTGACTTGAAAAAGCTCTATATAAGAACAGGCCATTTACCGGTTAATCTGTTTTTCTTTCATTTAAGGATAAGTTATTGCAGTCAAACCACTTCTTCACCTTAGTGAACTCTTCTTCTGCTTTTTCTATCAGTCTGTCATTTTTTTCCAGAGGAAAAATAACATTTGAACAATATTACTAGAATAAAGTTGTATAGTTGTACGTTCTGTGTATAATGAAATAGTTAATGTTTTGATTGCATCAACTAAACACTTTCATAAACAAATAAAAAAGAAAAATAAGATCAGGCCAGGTTGGAATACCCATGTGGTTGAATTTTTTAATAGAGCTAGAGAGGCTTCTAAGGAATGGATTGAGGCAGGTAGACCAAGATCAGGGCCTGTCTTTGAACATAAAAAGTATACCAATGCCCAATATAAGTATGCTGTGCGTTATATGCCTTACAGAAACCTGGCTGCAGCACGACGATTATCTGAGCAGAAATGAGGCAAC